TCCGGAGCCTGACAGACCAAACGAGAGGAACCGATTTATTTGCTTCTCTTTGTTCTGCCGTAGATTAGAGGTCCCCAACCGCCAGGCTACGGACTGGTACCGGTCCGCGGGTCATTTGGTGCCGGGCCGCACAGAAAGAATAAAAAACTTACTTTCCTTCCGTTTTATTGATTTCGGAATCTGAAAGATGTTTTATTTTGAAAAATTACCGGATTTATATATATATATATATATATATATATATACCTCGTCTACCCGAGGAAGCGTCACTTCATCGTATATATCCAATATATACACACACACACACACACACATTATTTTGATAAATATATGTGTGTATATATGTGTATGTATATATATTTATACACACACACACACACACACACACACACACACACACACACACACACACATACATATATATATATGGCTGGACACAGAGTGTAAACTTAAATCTTATCTGAAGAAGCAGTTTTGGGTGTTGCATGGGTAAGTAACCACCAAGTGTTGTTTTTGTTGTACAGCTCCTGGCAATGGTAGGCCCACACATGCTCTGACAAATTACCATCATATCACATTTTTTTTAAATCGACAGCCAGAATACAAGTCCTCACTAATGCTCGAAAAATGTACTTTGCAGTGGCTTTGGAGGATTGCACCCTGCAAACACAATAACCACACACTACAGTGTCATGGTGTTTGTTATTCCACAATAAATAAAGTTGATCAGACAGAATGTGAGTTGCTATCACTGATGTGACTGTCCATGCACGCCTAATGTCATTGTTGATCATCTTTTTATTGTCATTCTCAGCTCGGAGCCCAAAATGAGCACGTTTCACGAACGAATGCGACATTTCGTGGCTGATTATGATGACGCACTTGAGCAGCAAATAGTGAGACGAGGTTCATACCTGGCATGCAGCAATGAGGAGCTGTGGAAGCAGGTGGAGGAGCTGCTAAGCAACAAAAATGCTCAAGAAACACACTGCTTGAGTCTAGATCCTCTGAAGATTATGGAGGAGTCACTCAAAGTGGAAGCAGCATTAGCAAAAGCACCCAAAGCAAGTAGTGGCAAGCAAGTGAAAGCAAGAAGAGGACTATGGGGCCTTGCCAAGGCATTTGAGGTTCTGGAGCAAGCAGCTTTGAATCTGTACCTTGGACCCTGGAGGGAAGAGTACAAAGTTGTCAAGGTGAAATGATTTTTTAAAATCTTTGATTTGTTATATGTAATATCCTGAATAGCTAATCAGGTATTTAATGGGGAGGGCGGGAGTGGGGTAGCGTTTAATTCATATGTTTGGTTCTCTTGTCTCCCAGATGTACTCGGGCATGTTCACACACTACATCAAACCGGTGCTGTCATTGGCACAGATTGAGAAACTGTTTGGTTTGCTTGGATACCAACGCTCAACACGGCGGGAGCAGCTTCATCTCCAGTTGCACACAGTCAGCCCATTGATTTTGGATGATCTCCTCTGTCTGTCATGCGCCTTTTATCTGGCACGCTGCGAGTGTCAGCTCCTTCTGACGGCCCTGGAGGCTCATGGTGGTGACCCCCGATGGGAGCTATGTATGGTCAGAGAAAGACTGCGGGGATATGTCCTACAGGTATGTTAGAATGAGTTCTGCATTGGAAAATTCATCATTTTAATTTAATAAATAATTCAGGGGTGCCTAATATGTCGATCCTATCAATCGGTCATTATTTACGGTCCACAATATCGTCAAAAGATTCAGAGAGTCTAGAAAAATCACCACATATAAGCGGCAAGGCCGAAAACCATAATTGAATGCCTGTGACCTTTTGATGGTTCAGGCAGCATTGCATCAAAAACCAACATCAACATGTAAAAGATATCACCACGTGAGCTCAGAACACTTAAAAAAAAAAAAACAATGTCAGTAAATGCCGTTTGGCAGTACATCTGATCACGACAACATAAAACACTACTCTGCAAAGCATAATCCATCTATCAACAACACCGACAAATGCCACCGGCTTCTCTGGGCCTGAGCTCATCGAAGATGGATTTTCAAATTCATGTTGGAAATTTCGGACGTCGTGCCCTCCTGGCTAGCGAGGAAAAGAACCATCTGGACTTTTGTTTGTGCAAAGTTCAACAACCAGCATCTTTGATGGTATGGAGCTGTGTTAGTGCCAATGCCATGGGTAACTTGTGAAGGCACCATTAATGCTGAAAGGTACATTCAGGATTTGGAGAAACATCTACTGCCATCCAAGCAATATCTGTTTCATAGATGCTCTTGCTTATTTCAACACGACAATGCCAAGCCATCCTGCTTGTGTTTCAAAAGCGTGGCATGTAGTCAAAGAGTGCGGGTACTAGACTGGCTTGCCTGCAGTCCAGACCTGTCTCTCATTGAAAATATGTGGCACATTATGAAACATAATATATGACACTGCAGACCTCGGACTATTGAACAGCTAAAGGTGTACATCAAGCAAGAAAAAATCCACCTACAAAGCTTCAACATTTGTGTTTGCAGAATAATGTTGAAAAATAGCAAGAGCACCTGAGAGCTAAATCAATCATAAATGAATAGGATGGACAAATTGAAATTGTACTCCTGAAATATTTCTACTCACTGATTATTCAGGTTGAAACATTGCACCCTTGTATTAGAAATAAAAGACAAATGTAATTCCTTTTGAATGAATGAACGAAATTACTCACCGTCACTTCCCAAAACATTTCAATCTTGATAATCCATGCCGTCCAGATGATAATGTATATAAGACTAGTTTGACAAAAAGGTGTAATTCGGTGTAGATGATGAACACAGCAGGTGAGCGAACCGGTTGATCACGACGGTATCTTGACAAAAATCAAATTCAAACAATGAAAGTTGGCATTCCAGAGGGTCAGGTGTGTGAAGATGACTCTCCTACGTAATAACGTAATCCCCTTTTCTCTGCCAATAGTTAATTGTTGTTATTTTTGTATATACCCAAAAGAATAAATCAGATGATCCTGTTTGTCTTGTGTTCTACAACAGACAAGTCTGTTCTTCTAATTTTAGCATACCCTGATTGTAAACTAGGATAGAATTTCTTGAAAGTGAGCCCATGCCCTTACAAGGCAATCGCTTTTATACAGCTTCAAAAATCATTTAATATGACCTTAATTTGGAAATGTCCTGAAAATGGTCTCACCGTCAGCTGATAGCTCACCAAAAACCCGCCACACGTCTAGTCTCAGCCATTCTGCTGAAACAGGGTCAGGTGAAGGAATATTTTCATGAACCTTAACCCAATTCAGCATGGCGACCCCCAATGGCTACTTAGTGGTCTAATGTGTATTCTTCATCAGTTTATATCAGGGGTCTTCAATTCTGTTCCTCGAAAACCATGTCTGCCCCACACCTGATTCCAATTATGGTTATCCAGCTTCTGAAGACTCTGCTGATTATCTGATGTAATCATTTGATTCAGGTGTGTTGCAGCAGGCAGAGATGGAAAACAGTTAGGACAGTGGCCCTCGAGGAACAGGATTGAAGACCCCTGGATTAGAGCGAGATTCAGTTGGTCTGCTGAATCAGAGTTATTTGAAAACCCAGTTTTCAGCAGGGTGGCTACTGATGCACATTTGAAGGCATAACATGTACTCACCATCCCAGAATATCTGCAATAATACTACAACACATAACATCACTTTGGAGTGTAAAATTTATGAAGACTTGAGAGACTCACAAATGCTGCAGATGCATATTCTTGACATGTTCGGATTCTGCATGCATGTCCCCATCTATTCATTCAAAGCAGAGCCTACCCACGAAAAGCATGCAGGCCATGAGCCAGCATACTCATAATAGTGAAAGTAAATGAAGTGTAACATATAAAAACCTCTAATATCCCTAAATCATCTCTGAGTACACAGATAACACCGGAAACGCATTAACATAATGATAGACTGTAAAATGCCATTCATGTGCCAACCAGGAGCCCAAATAATGTTCATACATGAAGGAATAAATTCCATTAATTATTTAAGTAAATAAGTGTGGAATATAACCCTTAAAAGCACTCACATGACATGAGTGAACGAGCCAACCCCCCCCCCCCCCGACCCCCCTCCCGCGTAGCACCAACAATCCCCAATGTACAGATTATCCTCCTCTCTCTCTCTCTATAACCCTCTTGCTTGTGGTGATAGCCGTTAAGTCAACTTGCAGTAACTTCACATGGCGAGCGGTATAGTAGAGTCCCCGGTACACTTTTAAATGCCTCATCACCCATATTAGAACTGGTGTACCATGCACCCCTAGTATGTACAGTATATTCTATACACCGTTGCACGTCAAAGCCTCTTTTTATTGCTTTGTTTGTAGTTTGATGGTGGTAGTCATGAATTTAAAATGTTTCTGTTTACCAGGGTTGTTTTATAATTTGATATAATATGACATTATATACAGGTATGCCATTTTTAGCAAAATACACATCCAGTTCCTTCATGTCAGTGCGTGGTGGGGTTTTATATAACTAACTTTCTTTTACCTACTAGGTATGTTCCAGGCGCTCAGTCATTTTTACCTTGCTTAAAAATGGCCTAAAACATTTTAAAAGCCGTTTGTTTTCCGCGTCTCTCTAGGTTGCGCTGGACAACACGAAGAGGATAATGGGATTCAAGCAGCCATTGATGTCTGAGTCTGATGAAGAATCAGACGTGGATCTGTATACAGACAAGCAGGTCAATGAGGGGCAGAGAGGGATGCTTGTCCCTAATGATGACTGTTCCAGCTCATTATCGTGGGGTCCACTGCCTGTTAAATTGTACCACAATGGATCACTGTCTTCATCATCCCAAGCCATGAAAGAATATGTTTCTGTTTCAACACTTAGCTGCCAGGTTACCAGTAAGTCTGAATCAGAACCATTCAGGGGCTCCTCAGCCAGAGTGAGCCAACCCAGCAATGCTGGTGGGAAGATAACTGCTGATTCACCACCTTATGGCCGACAGGAAGATGGGGTGGGGATGGGAAAGAATGAGGATGAAAGCAACCACCTTTGCAGCTCCCTCCAATCTCCTAACCTGTACTTGAACCAGTGTATTGAATGCAACAGCGCCCATAATATCTCCAGTGCTGTGCTTCAGCATTACTCACAGGGAGGGAACTCAGTGCTGTTGCCTGACGACATGAAAGAATCAGCAGCGCTGTCACCTCCCAGACAAAATGTCAGGCCACAAGCTTTGAATTTGTCACTAACTCTCAGCAGCAGTGCTGCGGCAATGTCCTCTTTAGCTTTATGTGATAACCCAAAACCACTGATACCCATTTATCATCCAATAAGTTATCATGACTGTTGCGACCTCAGCCACCTTGATTCCTAGGTTGTGTACTTCAACTGCAGTTTTTTTTCACTCGGCTCCCTGCACACATTCAAAACACTGGGAAAGTTTTGCTTTGGGAAGGCTTGTTCCAGAAAGCCTTTGGTTTTGTGCGGATATTGTGGAAATTAGTATTGTGGGTGTAGAAATTTTCTCTAATGTGTCTGTGGCCAAACTCTTGACTTGGCATCTTCTCTGTTATTGGTCAGTACTTGTCAGGCAAAGCTTATTCTAGTTTCAGTGCCTTAAATGTGCAGAATTGGGGGAAAGAAAGCACAATGAACCTGGCGCTCAAATGACTTGACCTTGACTTAATTAAAAAATTGCCCTATTGACACACAGTCTCCTTATTTGTTATCCGCATGGACTCTGAGGGCCCTTGAATATTTGATTCACTGTCATGCAAACTGGTTTGTTGTTTGCGGCCACACTATTACATCCACGGTCATGAGAACGGGGCACTCCAGCGCTGTGAAATAGTGTTTTTTTCCCGTCTTCATTTCTGTGTTGTTTGCATATTTATCAAAGGTTTCAGTTCAGCATGCCAATTTTAAAAACACACAGAGACCACACAAGGAAATACAAAATGCCGTTTCCAAATGGCAATTTAATTTTTTAAGGCACAAAAAAAAAAAAAACCCAAAACTACCTGTCCCTGTGTGAAAAAGTAACTGCCCCCCCTTGTTAAATCTCAAACTGTGACTAATGGCGTTTTGGGGGAAGCTGAGTTCAATTTCACAGACAACACCTGAGCACCACATTTGTTGAATCAAGAAATCACATAAAATCAGACAAAGTGAAGTCGGCTACAAGAAGAAATTAGAAATTAAGTTATTAAAATATATCAGTCTGGAAAAGATTACAGAGCCATGATGGTGGCAGTGTGATGGTCTGTGGCTGTTTTGCTCGCTCAGAACAGGCCAACTTGCTGTTGTTGATGGGACAATAAATTCTGCTGTCTACCAAAAAATCCTGAAGGAGAGCATCCGACACTCAGTTTGCGCCTTCAAACTCAAGCGCTCTTGGATCATACAGCAGGACAACGATTTGAAATACACCAGCAAGTCCACCTCTAAATGGCTCAAAAAAAAACCAACAACAACAAAGTTAAGGTTTTGGAGTGGCCAAGTCAAAATCCGGATTTGAAGCAAATTGAGATTCTGTGGTGTGACCTTAAACGGGCAGTTCATGCTGGAAAACCAATTTGGATTTTTGATATCGGTTATTGCTGTCAAGGGTGGCACAACCGCTTATTAGGTTCACGGGACACTTCAGGTTTTTATTATTTATTTTTTTGTGCATTAATAAATTAAATTGGCATTTCGAAACTGATTTTTTTTTATTTCCTTGGGTTGTCCTTGTGTGATGTAAAAATTGGCTTGATGAACTGAAAATTTTGTGTCAATAAATATGCAAAGAACACAGAAATCAGGAAGGAGGCAAATACTGTATGTACTTTTCACGGCACTGTATTTGCATGTTCATAAAATCAATTTGTATGATTAATAAAATCTATTTGTCAAAACTATGTCAGGCAGCTCTTAATCAGACCATTAACACTGAGATGGTCCTCCTGTTAACACATTTATTTTGCCAACCTCTTCAGGGTGATTAAATAATAATGCATCAGATTTATATTACCATGATATAACTAATACTGGACTAGTTTAGTAACACAAAAAAATTCTAGCAGTTTATTCTATGCTACACTGACTAGCTGCAATGAACGTCAGTGGCTTATTATGATGATGATGATGATGATTTATTCATTATTCATATTCTAAACAGGGGTTCACCATTCATGACACAAACTGCGTATCCTGGAGGTCACCAACTCCGGTCCCCGAGAGCTCCTATCCTGCATGTTTTACTGTAAATGTTTCCCTCCTCCAACCCAGAGGTTGTGGTATTGGTCCTCGGCCCTTGTGACCATATTGAAGTGTCGTTGGAGGCAGCAAAGGGTTGAATTCCAGTTGACAAATTTAAATGTACACGACAGTGAATGAGTTAATTTCCTTTGATCCAATCATAAAAATGTGGAGTTGGGCGCCCCGGTGTTCCATTGGTTAGCGCATCGACCTCATAGTGCAGAGGTACCGGGTTCGATTCCAGCTCCTGCCTTCCTGTGTGGAGTTTGCATGTTCTGCCTGTTTAGGTTTTCTCCAGGTACTCCGGTTTCCTCCCACATTCCAAAAACATGCTTGGCAGGCTGATTGAACACTCAAAATTGTCCCTCGGTGTGAGTGTGAGCGCGGATGGTTGTTCGTCTCTGTGTGCCCTGCGATTGGCTGGCAACTGGTTCAGGGTGTCCCTCGCCTCCTGTGCGAAGGCAGCTGGGATAGGCTCCAGCACGCCCCGCAACCCTTATGAGGATAAAGCGGATCAGAAGATGGATGGATGGATAAAAATGTCAAGCTATCTTCAGTCCACATCTGAATGTTGAAAGTATTTACCTTAGAAAGCAGTATTTTGAAAGGCCACACCAATCATATCTCTCCGTTTATGAAACCCAACTGCAGTGAACTATGTCTTTGACTGTGGTGCTTCATGAAAAACTGGCAATCCAGGTCGAATGTCAACTCCGCTATGAGCAGGTGGTTTGCTCCAAAACATGGAAAAGAAGAAAATATATATACTGGAATAAAGGAAGGCAGCACGGTGGATGACTGGTTAGTTCATCCGCCTCACAATGTAGAGGTCATGGATTTGGATCTGGGCTCCGGATTTGTTGTGCAGAGTTTGCATGTTTTCCCCATGCCTGCACAAGTTTTGCCCGGGTACTCTGGTTTCTTCCCACTCTACATTTTTCTTAGTTGTTATTGATAGTGTGAATGGTCGTTTGTCTATGTGTGCTCCAGCACCCCCCTAACCTCGTCAGCATAAAGCGGTAATGGATGGATGGAAAGTAAATTACTGGGGCTGGCTGAACCGGGGCAAGTTAGTTTTCTGATGGGACTATAGCACCCCCTAGCCCCGGTGTTGCGACGTGCTGACATACATTTATTTCAGATTTTTTTGTGTGCCCTGTGGTGGCAAGCAGGTCAAGGTGGATGCCACCTACTTTCCGAAGTCAGCTCCCATTTTTGGGACGGAGGATGAGAAGTTTTGTAAAAAGGACGGACCAAGCAAGGACGGAAGTAGGTATTTTTCTGTCCCTTTAATCGTCCCTAACCAGGTTAAGTGTATGGTGTCGGGAGGCAAAATTACAAGGCCAGAGTGGAGTCAAACACTGTATTTTCTTCACGGGCTATTAACAGCACAACCGTTTTCATCCCAATAGTGGTTTTGTAGCAACCTAGTGTACAGTCAGAGAATAATAAAGTACCTATGGACACCCATTTCACTAATGATCAATCCAGCTGGTTAAGAAAGCTGGCTGTGTTGTCTGTCTTTTGGTGCCTGCCCACCGAGATTCTCATGCCATTTTGAGCCACGGATTTCTAAAAGTAAAGCTTTATTATAGTTATTGCATTTTATCACAGTAGCTATGTTTTTTTGTTTTTGTTTTTGTTTTTTTTTTGGTGAAATATTAATGTTGAGTTGCTTATCGTTAAGACATAAAAAAATACAAGGAAACAGTGATGCCATTTTTGTTTGATTGATAGCCAGTCTTATCTGCAACAGCCAATCACAGCATTACTGAAAATAATGTTCGGTTTGCAGGCGTACTATTCCTCAACGTACACGCATCCATCCATTTTCAACTCCGCTTATCCTGAACAGGGTCACGGGAGGGTGCTGGAGCCTATTCCAGCTGAGTCTGGGCAAAAGGCAGATTACACCCTGAACACGTCGCCAGCCAGTCGCAGAAACACACATAGAGATGAACAACCATTCACACACACATCCCCATGGAAGCCAATCCCACACTGCTTGCAAACAAGTCAGCCGAGTGTACCACTACACCATGAGCGACTCTCCTCAATGTACAGTTGCAAGGAATTTAGGGATTTTATCACATACAGTCCATAATATCAAAAGGTTGAGAGAATCTCAAGAAATCACTTCATGTAAGCAGCAAGGCCTAGAACCAAGACTGAATGCCAGTGAACTTTGATCCCTCAGGCGGCACTGTATCAATAAATGACATCAATGTGTAAAGGATACCACCACACGGGCTCAAGAACATTTCAGAAAACAAATGGGCGTGACAGCCGAAGTGCAACTTAAAACTCTACTATTCAAAGCAAAGGTCATTTATCAACAGCAACCAGAAACACCGCCAAGTTCTCTGGGCCTGAGTTCATCTAAGATGGACTGACGCAAAGTGGAACACATTTCAAATTGATTTTGGAAATTGTCGACATCATGCCCTCAAGGCCATAGAGGAAAAGAACCATCCGGACTGCTAAGGACGCAAAGTTGAAAAGCCAGCATTTGTGATGGTATGGGGTTGTGTTAGTGCCAATTGCGTGGGTAATTTAAATATCGGTGACGGCACCATTATTGAAAAGGTACATACAGGTTTTGGAGAAACCTATGCTGCCATCCAAGCAATATCTTTTTAAATGGACGCCACTGCTTAATTCAGCAAGACAATGCCAAACCACATTCTGCATGTGTTACAACAGCGTACGGGTACTAGACTGGCTGGCTTGCAGTCCAGACCCGTTTTCCATTGAAAATTTGTGGCCCATTACAAAACATAAAATATGACAACAGAGACCCCAGACTATTGAGAAGCTGACGCTATCCCATCAAGTAAGAATGGGAAACAATTCCACCTACAACGCTTCAACAATCAGTGTACTCAGTTCCCAAAATATTTATTTAATGTTGTCATTTAAAAAAAAAAAAAAAAGTGATGTGACACAATGGTAAACATGACCCTGTCCCAGCTTTTTGTGGAATGTGTTGCAGCCAAGTTAATGGTTCAAGTTTAGCAGTTTGAACACTAAATACTGTATCTCCTCTTTGTAGTGTATTTGATTAACTATATCGCAGTGGTGTCAAACGTAAGGCACACGAGCCGGAACCGGCCCCCAAGGAGGTTCGATCATGCCCACAGGATTATTTAAAAGTGAAAAAATGCATAAAAGATACGGAATGAATATTTTTAATAATGTACAATTCATAGAGTATCCGCTAGGGGACACTGTTTTGATCAGAGTAGAAGACAACATTGTTTTGATCAGAGAAGAAGAAAACAGCAGTCTCAGTCTGTCACTGAAGCAGACTCACTCAACAATCAACACAGCAGACGCTATCAAGGAAATGTGAATACTTTATTCTTTACACATTTTATAGCACTCTCCTTAGTTTGTAAGGTGTAGGCAGGGATTTCATTTAGATTTTATATGCACATTTGTAAATGGTTTTAAAATTCCTTTCTTTACG